TTATAGCCCCAAGTTATAGAGACTTCTCTTTCCCGTACTGGAAGCCTGGGCTGAGGGGTCTGCCATGGGGATGGGACCCCATGCTCCTCATAGGAGGCCTCCACAGCCAAGATATCCCTCTGAATTAAAAAAAACAAAACAAAAACAAAAAGCGCCACATGAGGGTCTCAGACTAGCCCATTCTGCGCTTCTGCCCCTCCTTCCTGTCTCAATGTTTTCTTCTTTAATTCCCTAGTTGCATGACTTTATTCAGTCAGATTTCAGGCATTTCTGAATGATGGTTGTTCTGTTACGTTAGTTGTATTTTTTTTTAATCCTCACCCAAGGATATTTTCCCATTGATTTTTAGAGAGCGGAAGAGAGAGGGAAAGGCAGAAATATCTATGTGAGAGAAACACGATTGGTTGCCTTCTGCATGAGCCCAGGCAGGAGTGGAGCCTGCAACCGAGGTATGTGCCCTTGACCAGAATCGAACCCAGAACCCTTTGGTCTGCAGGCTGATGCTCTATCCACTGAGCCAAACCAGCTAGGGCTTAGTTGTATTTTGATATGGTTGTGGGAAGAAGCAAGTACCATATTTACCTATGCCACCATCTTGGTCCCTCCCCACATATGCCCAGGTTGATATTTTCAAAAAAAAGTCGTTATATCCCTGCTCAAAGCCACACTCTGGATGAAGTTCAAGCTCTTTCCCCATTTCTCCTTATCCCTCATTTCCCCCCATCTTTGACCTAGCTCTTGGCTTCAAAAAGTCACTTGCTGCCTCAGGACCCGTGCTAGCATTGCAGAAGCCCTCTTGCCTCCAATCTTGGGCACCTGTCTGCTCCTCAGGGAGCTCCTTCCTGCTCCCTGACCTCATCTGAGTTACCTTCCCCTCCTCTGACTCACACACGCTGTACCCCCAAATACTAATGATTTCTTTCAAGAACATATCAGAACTGGCATTACATTGTAAAGCAGTTTATTTTAGTTTTATCTGTGTCCTTCCCAGAATAGAGGCCCCTGGATGCAGGGAATCCCCTGTTTATAAATATATGCCTAGTGCCCACATGGCCTCAGGGTGGGGGCAAGGGCTGCTCTGGGGCTGCCCGCTGCACCAGCAGCTTCCGCGATGTTCCTTGGAGCTCTCAGCCTGGATGGTCATTGGGAGGCGACCACCTCAGTAGCCTAGTGACGGGGACAAGCCTCCTCTCTTCTGTGTCCCCATCTCCTCTGTGAAATGGTACCACTGGGCCCCTAGATGATGAAGCCCAGGGCTTTATGTCAGAGGCACCAGGTGTACTGGTCACAGGGGCCTATGGGCCAGGAGGTATCCATTAGGATGGGTTGTAGGGTGACAGGAAGCTGTCCCTCTCCAGGACCCCCCCCCGACCCCCCCATGTGCCGGGGACCTCAGGTCCCCATGATGCTACAAAACTTCCTTGGCAGTCAAGGTTGGGGACTGGGAGTCCTGAGCAGCTGGGAGAACCTGGGGAGCGTCAGGAAGCCACCACCTCAGCTCCAGGGTGCCCAGCCCCAAGGTGGCCGAGTGGGGGCAGTGTGCACCGCGGGGTAAAGGTCAGGCCCTGGGAAGCTTGGGGGCAGTGAGGGGGATTCAGTATTGGCACTAAGTGGCCCGGAATTGGTGCAGGGCCCCTGGGGGAGGTGGGCCCTCGGGTGAGGGTTGGGGCAGTCAGGGCTGAATGGTCCCCAGTAGCAGCAGCAGCGCCCCAGTCAGCAAAACCAGTGAAGGGCCTGCCCAGGGGCCGGCTGAGGGCTCCGCGTGCTCAGCAGGCGTCAGGCCGCAGGCGGTGTAGGGCTCCAGGCAGGCGGCGAAGGCCATGACGTGCGCCACCACGCTCTGCTCCTGCACACCGTGCATCAGGTGCGCCTGCGGGCCACGCGCGAACACCGCCACGTCCTCACCAGCGTGGGTCTCCGACGATAGGGGCACGGCCGCCTGCTGCCTGTAGTTGGGGTCCCCTGAACAGACAATGGGGAATCAGGTATGGTGGGCACCCTCCTGTGAGTTCCCCCTGCCCGCCCACCCACCAGCGCACTCACTGCTCTGGTTGTCACGGACATCTGACCGGGAGCCCCCGCTGACTGCGAAGCCGGGGCCATTGCCATAAAGGATGGAGGTGTAGGCCTTGCCATCTTTCGCCTTCTCAGGAGCCAGCCCTGCAGGGAGAAGAGGACCTGTGATGGCACCACCACAGCTCTGCAGCGCCCCCTGTGTGCTAAGCCCCAGTACTGCTTGCCTATTCAGTGACTTAATCCACACAAGACCCTGCAAGGCTATGGCTATTATGACCCCATTTAAGGGATGAGCAAACTGAGGCTCAGAGCATTTTCTGCCTCCTAATCGAGGAACAGGTACCTGCCACTCTCCCCAGACCTACCGAAAATGGAGCTGCCACGCAGAGTGTAGCCACCAAAAGTGAAGACGTGAGAGTGGTCAGCAGTGACAAGGGTCAGGGTGTCCTTCTCGCTTGTGAGCTGGCTGGCCCTGTCAATGGCGTCATCAAAAGCAACAGCATCTGTCAGTGCGTAGTAAGCTCTTCCCGCATGATGACCTTGATCAATGCGGCCGCCTGCAGAAAGACCACGGGTGGGTGGTGGGGAACCTGCCCTGAATCCTGAGCTCCCTCTGCTCAGTGAGGGGGTGCCACTCACTCACCCTCCACGAACAGGTAGAAGCCCCGGGGGTTCCTGCGCAGTAGACGCAAGGCAGCCTCTGTCATCTCCTTCAGGCTTGGGTCCTGCTGGGAGTCTCGGTTGGCCTCATAGTGCATGTCCCCTGGCTCAAAGAGGCCTGTGGACAGGGGCCTGAGGTGACTGACAGCCGTGGAGTGGGGTCTGTGCACACATGAGTGTCCAGGGACCCGGAGGACAGGGCAGGAAGGTGGGGGAAGGGTGGGTCATTACCCATGAGGTGTGATAGGGAGGGGTCCTGGGACGCCTGAATGAGCGCTGTTCGGTTCCACACATACCGGGCACCCTGGGAGGGACAGAACCAGGCCTCAGCCCACGGCTCTACAACCAGCAGCCCTGCCCTTGGCCCTGCCCTTGGCCCTGCTCTATCCCCTGCCCCAGGAGCCCCCATCACCTTGTGCTTGGCCTGCCACTCCTGGACCAGGTCCCGCATGTCCAATCTGACTCCGCTCTTTGAGGCATCACCAGGGTACTCAGGGTCTGGGGTCCCCTTGGGAAACATGTACTTGCGGCCTCCACCCAGGATCACCTGGAGCCAGAGGAGTAGGGCAGGTGAGCTTGGGGCCTGCCTGGCCCTTTGCCCCCTGAACAAACCATCTCTAGGTCCCGCCCACCAGGTCTGTGGCAAGGCCTGGCTTGCCTGTACCTTCTACACACCACCATCCCAAGTGCCCAGAGACACTGCCAGGCCCCAGGCCCCAGGGCTCAGGCTGTGGGTTGCCTGGGACTGTGGCCAGCATGGGGCCCACCCCCTCTGCTCAGGTCCCCATTGCCCTCATGACCCACATCAATGTCCATGTTGGTGATGAGCTGCATGGAGATGTCCCGACAGCCGTCCTTCAGCGCCTGGGCAGGCATGTCTGCATCTGAGTACCAGTTGCGGTTCACCGTGTGCGCGTAGGTACCAGCCGGCGAGGCATGCTGCACCCTCGTTGAGGTCACCACCCCCACTGACTTCCCTGAGGGTGATGGAGGTCAGGTCAGGGTGAGCCACTATGCCCTCTGGGCCCGACCCCTGCTCACTAGGCTGGCCCCAAGCCCACCTGCTTTCTTGGCCCGGTTCATCACAGAGATGACCTCGTTGCCATGTGTTGTGTTGCACTGGTTGTACTGGGCTGCTGCACTCACACCAATGATCAGGAAGTTGGTCTTGACACCACACAGGTAGGCTGTGGCCGTGCCTGCACTGTCTGGCACTTGTCTGTCCACGTTGTAAGTCTGGGGACAAAGACATCCTCAGCTCCTCTCTGGGCAGACACCCAGATCATGACCAGGCCCTGGGCCCCTAACTCAGGCCCCAACCCTCCTGGGGCCTTCCCTCCTACCAGGCTCCCTAGACCCACCCCACCCCTGTGGTGTGGAGCATCCTGAGGCCACCCAGCCCTTACCTTGGCCAGAGCCACGAATGGGAATTTGTCCATGGCCAGGGGGGTCTCAGGTCCCAGTTTGCCATTCATCTGCCCCTTTAGGATCCGAGTTGCTGTCACTGTGGACACCCCCATCCCTGAAGGAGTGGAACCCAGTCAGGTCTGAGTCCGCAGGCATGGCTGTGCCCATAGGTAGCCCTGGGTACCAGGACTGTGGGGCTCTGGGAATGGACATGCCATGCACACTCACCGTCCCCCAGGAAGAGAATGAGGTTCTTGGCGGCTGTTTGGATAGGCTGCAGCTTCTTGGCGGTGTCCAGAGCCTGGGCTGCCTGGTGGTTCCAGAAGGCTGGGTCTTCCTCCTCAGCTGGCCAGGGGAGAGGGAGGTCAGGTCAGCCTTGGGGGAGCGCCCCATGTGTGGGTCTGGCTGGTAGGGGCCCCTTACCTGGGATGAATCCGAGGGAATGCTGTATCCTGAGGCCCAGCAGCAGCAGCAGCAGCACATGGGCTCCCTGCATGCCTGCGGGATGGTGGGCCGGCATCGGAGCTGGGACTGCAAAGGGGCCGGGACCTGGTGAGGCTGGAACTTGGATGAGGCTGAGACACCAGGGCACCAGTTGCAGGCAAGATCTTTGGGCTTAATCTGGTGAGGCCTTCATCCCTGGCTATAAAAACCTTTGGGTCCCTCTCAGGGCCCCAGGCAGCCACCCTGAGACAGCCCCTCCTGTTGGTTGGGTGTGACAGCCTTGGGGCAGGGGTCCTGAAAAAGGCGGAGAGCTTAGCAAGGAAAAGCCCAGGTATCTCCCCAGGCTAGGGTGGGCCTAAGAGGCAGGTGCCCTCAGGGTGAGGAGGATTCACAGGGTCCTTATTGGGCTCCCCCTACCCTTTGCTCCTGAAGTCCTGGGCACCTGTCACTCCTTTGTCCACCTCATCTGTTCAGTATTTCCTTGAGCCAGTTGGGCCCAGGCTTGGTTCTGAGTGCTGAGGGAGGTGGGGTGCAAGGACAGGGCCTGCAAGCAGCCTGGTTTGGCTTCCTGATGTCGTCCTGCCATCCAGGTGGCTTTTCACCAGGGTTGGCCTGGGCAGGTGGACAGGCGTAGTGCACTAGGCTTAAAGCAAACTTAAAGTAGCAGTGGGAAATTTTAGACTTAGCAAAGGTTGAGGTGACCTGTTCCAAGTTCTGAGAATTTGACAAGACCAAGGATATGGCTAAGGATGGGTGGCCATGAATGGCCCTGGAAGTTCCTGGTCAGCACACCTGTGCGTGAGAACCCTGAATAGAGTATTGTAAAAGGATGTTTGTGGCGTGTAGAGCACTGTAACAGTTATGAAGGATATTTGTGGTTTGTGCAAATAAAAGCTTGCTTGACCCCAAGGCTGGGGCTGCTGTTTGGGCATGCTCCCTGCGTGGAGAAGTCCGAGGCAGTCACTGGCCAGTTCAATAAATCCTCGCTTGCTGTTTTAGACCTAATTGGAGTCGGTGGTCTTACTCTTGCAAACGCTGGTCCACAAAACAGGCACTGGACTACTGGGTGTGTCCCAGAGCTGGGGCTCAGAGTCTTGTTTGGTGGAAAAGGGTGGGGTGGTGGTGACAGCAGAGTGGGGACGTGGTCTGTGTGTCCAAATACCCTGGGCTGGGCCAGCCTTGCAGTGTGTGTGAGGGAGACAGGCCTGTAAGCCAGGTAAAAGGGAATAGGCAAAGGGAGACAGAGAGTTAAGCAGCAGTTGTAGCCATCTAGTAAGTCCTATCTTCTCTAAACCAAGGACACTTACGAGTTTTCACTTTTCCTCCCCAACCAGAGGGTAAATAGCTTAAATCATCCTACTCTGGGAGACAGATAGCAGAAATCCAATTAGTGCCATTTGCCAACCACACCCTGGGATCATCTGGGTGAAGGGGATCAATCTCATTTTGACCCATTGACTTAAAGCTCTCGAATATTCTATTTAGATCCTCCCCTAAGCCCTCTCCTATACAATCCCCTCAAAACAAAGATCCCGCCTGGCTAGGAGCACACGTAGCCTCCCTGCCTCTTTCTCCACAGGCATGCAGCTCCTAAACTCTTAGGGACCCCGGGAGGCTTACAACCAGGGCAACAGTGGGCAGTGGCAGTTCGTCCCAGAAAAATCTCCCAGGCCCCCTTTTCTCTGACTTCTTAGGGAGCCAAAGCAGCCCAGCCCAGGCTCATTTCCTCAGCCCTTCCCTGTTTCATTGTCCCCAGCTTTAATAAACGTCCTCTAAAATTCACCTGGACTTGTGTTGTGAAAGTTTTCTTGCACGAATTCAAGAACCTACACCAGCCGTGGGCAAACTACGGCCCGCAGGCCGGATCCGGACTGTTTGAAATGAATAAAACTAAAAAAAAAAAAAAAAAAAGATCGTACCCTTTTATGTAATGATGTTTACTTTGAATTTATATTAGTTCACACAACCCCTCCATCCATGCTTTTGTTCCGGCCCTCTGGTCCAGTTTAAGAACCCATTGTGGCCCTCAAGTCAAAAAGTTTGCCCACCCCTGACCCACGCACTACCCGTCGGCCCTAGGCAGACCCGCTTGGGCCAGGTACCCAGTCCGATAACCTTCAGAGGGCAGGCGGGGTGGGGCCCTGTGCCCTGGCATGATGTTGTCTGCTCCCTTGGATGGGTTTGGAGCACAGGCATGAGTCTGCTCTCCTCTGATCAGGAGCGTTCAGAAGTATTCCTCCCACCCAACAATCCTACCTCTGGGTGTGAACCCTAAAGAACTGAAAGCAGGCTCTTCAAGACATAATCGCACCCCCATATTCATAACAGCACTATCCATAACAGCCCTAGGCGTGTCGGGGCCCAGGACAGACCACCCCGAAATATTCCACGGTGACCTAGTGATTATTTCCAACTGCAGTCACCTGGGAGGCAGCAGGAGCAGGACGGGGCCTGACTCTCCTCTGTGTCCCTGAAAGCAGGAGGGAGCATCCCAAGGGCAGAAACACAACCTATCACAGCTGGGAATCTGGAATGAGAGCTGTGTCCACAAGCCTGTCCCGCCCCAGCCCAAGCCCTGCTTACATTCCTTTTAATGAGCAGTGCCTTTCTCTGTCTTGTCAGTTTCTCACACATGTGTTTGTACAAAAAACATAAAAAGGTGCCTGGTCTGAACATTTCTTGAGCCTCATTTTCTGACCTGAGCATCACACTGTGGTTCTCCTGCGCGCATGTTTTAAACTGGGTTTTCTCCTTGAGGACGTATCCGAGCTGAAACATCCTCATTTGGGTTTTTGCAGGGTGACCCCCGAGGCTGTTTAAAGAGCGTGACTCTGCTCCCAGGCCTGGAATTGGCCCACAGAACTGTGACAGACAGACATGAGCAGAGCCAGCGTGATGGGCCAGGTACAGAAGGTCACCAGGGCAGAAAACTACAGGTGCCCAGCAGCGGAGAACTGTAGGGTGTGACCTCGCCACCAGCGTGGCCTCTCGTCCCCTAGCGTATCCATGGTCAGGTGGTCTTAACCTCTTGACCTTTTCGCCCTAGAGATAACATTTACACCTCAGTTGTGTTTCGGCTATGGGTCCAAAAAAGCAACAAAACCAGACCAGCAACCCCATGGCCGACTTCAGGACCAGCTGCATTGAATAATGACCCTCTGCCCTGGTGCTGGCCAATCAGTGGAGACCACAACCCCAAAGGACACGCCCAGAAAACTGCCGAATATTCTATTAAGATCTTCCTCGGGGACCTCCCCTAAAATCTTAAAACCTTTAGGATGGAGGACCCGGTGCTTTCTCCCAGTGCCTCTCCTTATCCTACCCTCCACCCCCACTCTCAGGCACGTTACCATTACCTTCCTCACTCCCAAGCTCCTAGGGCCCTTCTTTTGCCTCCATAACTCATTTCCTCAGCCCATCTCTTCTACGTGTTACTTCTTCTACCTCTGTAATTTTATAAAGAAATGTTCTCTTATAGTTTGAGTCTTGGCTCTGAATTCTTTCCTAGCTAGAACTCAAGTACCAAGGTTGCTGAACCCAGGTCCAGTCTGTCAACAGATGAATGAATAAACAAAAGGTGGTGTCCATACTGTGAATGAAAATGGGGTTCTATGGAAAGTAACCTCTCAGGGAGATCTGACCATAAACGCCTAACGGGGCAGGTCATGCTGGGTAGTCACATCCCAGGCTTATCACTTCTTCAGTGAAAGGTTTGAAGCCAGCCCTGTCCTTTGCTCTTGTGCATCTAGGTCAGTGATGGCGAATCTTTTGAGCTCGGTGTGTCAGCATTTTGAAAAACCCTAACTTAACTCTGGTGCCATGTCACACATAGAAATTTTTTGATATTTGCAACCATAGTAAAACAAAGATGTATATTTTTGATATTTATTTTATATATTTAAATGCCATTTAACAAAGAAAAATCAACCAAAAAAATGAGTTCGCGTGTCACTTCTGACACGCGTGTCATAGGTTCGCCATCACCTTTGAAATACCAGAAGTAATATCCCTCGAAGGGGTATTGACCCTCAAGAGAGCACATAATCTTCTTTTTCTCTCTTTTTAAAAAAAATGTATTTTTATTGATTTCAGAGAGGAAAGGAGAGGGAGAGAGATAGAAACATCCGTGATGAGAGAGAATCATTGATTGGCTGCCTCCTGCACACCCCCTACTGAGGATTGAGTATGCAGCCTGGGCATGTGTCCTGACCGGGAATTGAACATTGACTTCCTGGTTCATAGGTCAAGCTCAACCACTGAGCCACACTGGCTGGGCATAATGATATATATATTTAAAAACGACCCTTCTTCCCAGCTCTGCCCACCCTAAGGGACCACAGTAGCCCCCTTTGCCATTGAGTCCTCCTCCCTACCTGCAGAGCCTTCCTGGGCCCTCCTCGCTCTACTGAGACAACCTCACCTCCAAGGGTTATCTGCCAGCCTCCATCACTCCCTCTATTCCCTGCATCCTCTTCCTGTCGAAGGGGAGCAGAGTTTGCCATCCCAATATATGCCTCTTTGGGGATAGTGATTCTCTTAGGCTGGGTAACTTTTGAAAAATGTTGTCGATCGATGAGAGAGAGAGAGAGATTTGTTGTTCCATTCATTCATGTATTCATTGATTGCTTCTTGTATGTGCCCTGACCAGAGATGGAACCCACAACTTTGGTGTATTGGGGTAAAGCTCTAACCATCTGAGCTACCCAGCCAGGGTGGGCAACCTGTATTTGTAAGGCTATTTTCCCCACTGGAAGAGCTAGCATCTAAATTCCTAGAAACTGTTATCAGTGGAGGAAGCCGACACCTAAACCTGCATAACAGCCTGATGCCCGTTGCTGTGCTCCTCCTGGTCCCCTCCCACGCCTCACTCCCCACACCCAACATCTTTTTTGTCTTTAGCTGGAGACGGATGGAAGGTGTGGCTTCCACTATTTTGGAGAGTTCCTCAGTTGCTCTGGGTCTCTCCCACGTCTGTCAGAGGAATACATGTTATTAAATGTTAATTTGTTTTCTGCTGCTAACCTGTCTCATGTGAATTTGACTATTAGACCAGCCAGAACCTAGAAGTTAAAGAGAAAACCACAGTCCCAAAATGACATCGCTGTGACAGAACCCCTGAGCTAGTCACACCAAGCTGTGCTTCCCCGGCAGGCGGACCGTTCTGAGGGCAATTTTAGCTTCAGGCTCTAAGGGCAATGTTAGCTTCAGGCTCAAGAGAAACTTCTGCCCCTCCCTTTGCCTAGAAGAACTTGAATTACGAGAGATGATCAGCTATAATCTCTTTTTGACCCACCTACAAGGCAGGGCACGCTTCTATTTACTAAGACCTGCTCTTCTAATCCTGCAGCGACCCAGGGAAGCCCCCGAGCTGCCTTACCTCATCCCTCGGCCAGAATGTCAAGTTCCCCGTCTGTCTGAACCTCTGGTGTGTGTGGGGCCTCTGACTCTCACGGATGTGGGGTTCCCATACGTATGTATGTATGAAGTTCGGTCGGATTCTCTCGCTAATCTGTCTCATGTCTATTTGATGATTAGACCAGCTGGAAGAACCTTAGGGTAAAGTTTTCTCCTCCCCCGTCTCTATGTCATATATACATATATATATCCCCTATCATAAAACCCATACAGAGAAGGCTCAGAGAAATTATATTGCAAAAGGTTTTAAATTCATAACCTAACTCAGTTATGTGCAAATTTAAACTCTTCATTCCAAGTGTCAAATACACCCTCTCCCATCTCCAGACTCTCGTTTGTGGTCATCAAAGGCATCAGCCCTCCTCCTCCCACTTGCCAGCGCTCCAATCTTCAGTTTGCTTCAGCACCCCTCCACCTCCAGTCCCC